AAAATTTGATTTTTTTCATTAAAAGAGTCAAAATGGGCAGGAATAGAAACAGAAACATGATGTCCAAATCTCTTTCACCTACCTCTCTGCACCTCTGTGTTTCAGTTAATGATCTCACTGAGAGAACTCCAAGTACCTGAAACAGCAAGAACAACACCAAGTAGCACGATCCCTGCGTCCAAAGCTCGTTGTTTCCATCCTAATTCTTCCTTGAAAACCATAAAATGAAACAAAGCAGGCAACACAAAGCCTAACGCACAGCAAACACTGCTTCCCACCAATGACAAAAAATCAGCAAAGTTTGGAACCAAAAGAGCCACAAGCGTCACTGCTAAGACCAGAACCCATCTGAGCCAAATACAGTACATTCCACTCCAGAAACGTCTCTCAACAATCTCATACACAGGATTCATCATCAAAGGGAAAGTAAAGAAGAGGTTAATACACAGTCCAAGCTGAACAAGACTGCTCACTGTTCCTGTCCCTAAGTTAGCTGTAATTATATCCATTGTCTCATCTCCAAAAGCCATATAACCTAACACACCAAAAGCTCCATATACCACAGCGATGAATAACATGCTAAGAGCCAACACTTTACCAAACTTGTCCTTATCTTTCATCTCCGATTCAAGAGGCAAAACCATTCCCACGATCTCAAACGCGTAAACAGATACACCCATACCATAAAAGAACACAGACAAACCACCAAAGGCAACAACTTCAGGTCTTTGCTCAACTGTAATCTTCACATCTTCAACAATCACAACCGCCATTGCTCCCAGATCAACCACATCAGCGAATATACTCAAAGGAGCCAAGTGAGTAAGCGTCTTAATGGAATTCAAACCTAACTGAAACGGAAAGCATCCCCATATGTAGAGGCTCTTATGAGACACAGCCATTAAATGCCTTAGACTCACACTCAGAGTTTCGGTTGTGGTTTGGTTAAACAGATTAGCTAAAGTAGTACCGATAAAGATGAGATATCCGACACAGAAACCAGCTTGAGACAAAATTATAAGAATGTCAACGACGAACCTCCCGATTGGACCAGAGACAGCGAATCCAAGATCCCCAAAAGATCCGATATTGGATACACCGAGCTTTCGGCGAATGTGAACAAGAAGCATCATACAGTGATTGAGCAGAGCCGCTACAGAGAAGAGCGTGAGCAAACCCATGAGCCATCCGGTTCGTTTGAAGGCGTAAGGAAGACCCAACACACCGGCTCCGACAATAGCTATGAAGACATTAGCGAAGGTCTTGAAATGACCCGACAATGGTGTTCCGTTGCCGAGAAGTGGTGTGTCCTCTCTCGCATTTCCTTTCTCAAAACCCATCTTTTTTGGTGAAAAAGATCCAGAGATGGGTTCTGGAAATGAAAAATTCAAATCTTTGATCGGATATGAAGAAGAAGAGATCTAAAAAGATTTGTAGATTTTGGAGATTGACGATCCCGCGACATTCGCTCGCTATTAATTTAAGTAGAATTGAAGGGGAAAATAAAAGAATTGAAGGAGGTCGAATTGTAATTAGCAAAACTGGCGGAGGGGTAAAATTAATTTAAGTAGAATTGAAGGGGAAAATAAAAGAATTGAGATTCCCTGCTCTAAAAGATTTTCCCACGTATTGAAATTGATCCACTTTCCTATTTTCATGCATGTTTTGTGTGCCCCTTTTTGTATTCTTTAGTGATCCTCTTTGTCATTAAAACTGGTTTCTGCACTGCGTAATCCATCCGTCGCAAAATCGTGTGTTGACTGTCCGTGAGAACGCCAGATTACAAAGGTTTCCTGATTTTTATAAGCTTTGTAGCACAATAATGGAAAAA